TTTGCAGGAATAACCCCCAATCAGCCTGAAGGTGACTTCTTCCAAGGGAGAGATCAAATCAGCAATTGGCAAGAAGCAGTGCTACTCTACTGATGCTTCAAATTGTTTCCACTTACTAAAGATTTCAATGCCGAACACAAATTCCAGCTCCCTGGAGAGTTCTTGTGTAGAAAAAAAAATTATGTCACTGCAGGAGTAACTCCTCTACAGCCACCCAGATGGGGTGCTTTGAGAAAACGCCTTTTGTAAGCTTCCCACAGCTTTGTGCCTCAGTGAGTCACAACCAATAATGCCCTCCCCCAATAAAGCAGCAGGGTACCAAGAAGGCTAATTCTTCCCTACTCCTTTTTTTTCCTATATATATTTTTGTGCACTGATCAGTAAACTACCATTTTGCCATCACTAGACCTATTAGTATCTACATAGCTATAAAATAGTGTTCCAGCATAGGCCTTAGTAAGTTCTTCCAGGATTCAACCTGTACTGCCTTGCTGCCTAAGCAGTTCCCTCTTCTACTCCCCCTCAGTGAAGTCAGAAAACAGCATTCATTCTTTCATTGTCCCAGGTATTGTGGAAACCATCGAGGATATAGTGTATTTGACCTTATGAGAGTACAGCTCAGTGAGGAAGATAAGCATTAAACAAGTTATCATATAAAATATTTCATTACAATGGGGCTAAGTATGACAGAACATGAGATGTCCAGAAGAAACTGTCCAATGGGACCTGACTGAGTGAGGGTGAGTAAAACTTTCACAAGGGGCTGGGGATGTGGCTCAAGCGGTAGCACGCTCGCCTGGCATGCATGCGGCCCGGGTTCGATCCTCAGCACCACATACAAAGATGTTGTGTCCGCCAAGAACTAAAAAATATTAAAAAAATTCTCTCTCTTTTTAAAAGAAAAAAAAAACTTTCACAAGCAAGGCACCATTCAAGCTGAAATCCGAAGGATGAGCAGCAGAGGAGGCGAAGGGGAGAGAGCACCCAAGGAGGTAGAGGAGCCTATGTGGGAATGCTGAAAGCAGGAGGGGCCCAGGTTCTTAAACCAATAGAAGGAAGAACAGAGAATCAGGGGACAGGGGCAGTGGGAGGTCTCAAGATGACAATGAGGCAGGGCTTCATCTTAAATATGACGTCATCTTCAACACTGAGGACTTAGTCCTAAGACAATAGGAAGCCAGTAAATGTGATTCTGAAGAGCAATATACTCAGGGTTTCGTTGTTGTTATTGGAGAAACATCACTCAGCACTAAGGGAAAATCTAGTTCCTCAAGGCACAAGTCATCAAGTAACCCTGTACCTCTCTCCCCCTTCGACCCACCTGTACATACTGTACATTCTATTTTCTAAGTAGATATTGACTTTTGGTTGTTTGCATTACCACTGAAATCATCTTAATCCAAGCTGCTCTCGTTTCTTCCTTGATCTACCAAATAGCTTCTGATTAGCCTCCCTGCTTCCATTTGCCCCCGTAGTTAACCCTGTAGTGCAGGAAGTTCTATCAGATAGCCCTCCTGCAGAAGCTCAGAATGCTTCCAGTTCACAATGTTTCACTCCATCTAGGCTTCTGAGATGCCCAAAGGAAACTGTCAATCAACTGGTAAATCAACCAACACCAAGAATTTCTATATTCTGAGCCCCGATAAGGCCTTGAAGTTGAGGTTGAAGACAATACGAAAAAAGAAGGAATAATAATCTTTGTTGTTCAGATATCCATCAATCTAAATGAAACAGATGAAGGATACATGCCATGGAGAAAGAGTACGATGGTTTATTTTATTTGTCACTTGATTAAGCCACAAGATGCCCACGTACTTGGTTAAACATTATTTAAGGGGTGTACTACAAAGGTATTTCTAGTAACATTTGAATCAGAAGACAGAATAAAGCAGATTTCTCTCCCCAATATCGGTGGGCCTCACCCAATCCTTTCAAAGCCTAAATAGAATAAAAGGTCAAGAAAATATTTTTTTAAAGAGAGAGAGAGAAAATTTATTAATATTTTTTAGTTTTTCAGCGGACACAACATCTTTGTTTGTATGTGGTGCTGAGGATCAAACCCAGGCCACATGCATGCCAGCCGAGTGCGCTACCGCGTGAGCCACATCCCCAGCCCAAGAAAATATTCTTTCCTCTGTGTGGCTGGGACACAGACTTTCTCTAGAAGACAAACTTCAGACAGACTGAAACTTATACCAGCTCTCCTGAGTCTGGGTTTCTCAGCTTCCATAATTGTTTATTAATTCTGTATACTAAATTTTGTCTTACACATATGTGCACACACTCCTTATTGGTTCTGTGTCTTGGGAGAACGCTGAATAATTCTGAGGATGTGGGGGAAACATCCTTGCTTGCGAAACTTTTACTCATCTTCTTCATTCAGTCAGTGTAATCACATTGTGAATTCACTGCTATCAAATCAGCTGGGGAGACTATAGTCAGATCTAATTAGGTACCAAGAGGGCATTCAATCTTTATTTGGATTTTGGCAAAAGAAAGGGAAACAGAAGCTTAAAAAAAATCAAGAAGTTGTGTGCGTTTAGAAGGCCAGTTTGTTTTTTGGCAAAGGAAAACATTTTCTTCTGAACTATTCAAGGAGGAGGGTAGTAGAGGAAGATTCTGAACAGTGAAAGAAGACCTGAAAAAAACAAAACAAAAAAACCCAAAAAACTCCAACTTGGGAGCAATTAATTGTACAGTGATATATTGAGAATAACTCAGATAAACAATGAGCATAAAAAACAGGATCCTGATCCTGTAACTCAAGGAGGACACCATCTAAAAAGCTATCAATTCCCAACAGACTCCTAAGAGAAAAGATAGGTGAGAAAATTTCTATAAAATAGGTTCTAAATAAATTTGTAAACTGAACACCACATTTGCAGCATGTAAGGCAAATATCTCACTAAACATGCATATAAAAATTTCTCTGCACCTCCTCAACACCTGAACCATGGACAGAAGTTTAAATAAAGAATATACATGAGAGTCCTGGGGTACACTCTCAATGCTTCATCCAGTGAACAAGTGTATTTGTTGTCTTAGTTTTAATCAAAATTAAACAGCCATAGGTTACATACTACAGTTTGGTTATTGCTTCAATGTTTTAGGATTTTTTTTAAAATGCAGTAATAGCATAAACTATGACTCAAAGGCCACAGAACCCCGTTTAACATTACATTCAAGGTGAAAGTTAGACCCTTCATGAGACACAGAAACACGGCTTCAGACAGGACTGAAAAGATTTAAATATGCTCATGCATATTTAAATTCCTTCAAGTGTGTTTTCAGTAGGTACTTTGGATTAGTCTTCATTGAAATAACTGTCCATTTGTACTCTAACTATATAGATACATACTCAAGCGTACTCTGTTTTGGTGTGTGTGTGTGTGTTTAATCTACTGCTTTAGTTGTATGTACTGGGGGGAATTTATCCATGAGAATCTTTTTTTCCCATAAATGTCTTCTGTTTTATAATCTGTCACAAAGATTGATACTAGATTTTTTTTTTAGCTACTTTTTTTTCATGGCTAGTAGAATATTGCTACATATTTAGAAGGAGTGATTTCCTATAAGATTCTAATACATCCTGTACCACACTTACAAGATAAAGTGTGTGCTCATTTTTTAAAAAAATCAGTTAAAATATGTGTGTGAAGTTCTTAATTTTCCCACAGAATTGGAGTGTATATTAAAAAAATAAAAAAGAAAGCTAAAGTTTTAAAAGAGGGGTGGAGGGTGGCACTTCTATCTACAGTACCTATCAGTTTAAAAATAATCATACCACTTAGTATTGGCAAGGGTTTCCCACACAGTGTTTGGAGGATATTAAATTGATATATTTTGTCTATATAGGGTGGATACTAGTTGATATGCAGGATGCAAAACCTAAAAGATGAGAAGACTTTACCCAGGCAATTTTACCTATGAGAATTTACCTTGGTTATGATATTCACATCAATTAAATTGGCAGTTGAAAATAATGTAATTATATGATTAATAAGAGAAAATAAGTAAATTATGGCATATCCATATTAGAACTCTTGTAGCCATTAAAAGGGATTGTTAGAAATACATTCAGCAATTTGGAAAAGTGGTCCCAATACAACAATATCTCTGGATTATTTTCTTTAAATGTTACCTGTGCATACACAGAAAAAAGTGAGTGTTAACATAATGATTGTTCAAGAGATATTTTTCTCTTTTCTTGTCTGAATTTTATAATTTTTATATAACAAAACACGTATGGCTAAAATCAGCATATTACAGTGATACAGCCACATCAATGTTTATAGTAGCTCAATTCACAATAGCTAGACTAAGGAACCAACCTAGGTGGTTGGTTAAATGAATTTTAAAAATGTGGTAAATACACACAATAGAGTATTACTGTACCTTAAAGAAGAATGAAATTTGCCAGTAAACAGATATAGCTGGAGAATATTATGCTAAGTGAAATAAGCCAATCCCAAAAAAACAGCAGCAGAATGTTTTCTCTGATATGTAGAAGCTAATTCACAGTGGGGGGCAGATAGGGAATAATAGAGTTACTTCAGATTAGGTAGAGGGGAGTGAATGGAGGGCAAGGAGATATGGGGGTAGAATAGTAGAATGAATCATACATTATTATCCTATGTACACATAGGACTATACGACCTGTGTGATTCTACATCATGTACAACCAGAAAAAATGAGAAATCATACTCCATTATATATGATGTATCAAAGTGCATTCTACTGTCATTTATAACTAATTAAAACAACAATTTAAAAATAATCATGTATGGCTTTAATAGTTACAATAGTCATCCATTGTATTCATTTGTTCACTTAAATAATGGCTACAGAAGCTTCTCCTCTAGTTGTGGTGCCTCTAGACACATGGACTTTGAACCAATCTGGTAGGTTCAGCACATGCTAGGGCAAACCTGATGACCACTGTCCCTCCTAAACCTCTCCTTCTAACTCAGCTGTCCCCAACAAACAAGAACCCTGCTCACCAAACTGTCCCGAATGCAGGGCTTCTCCACCAGCCTCCGGACTCCATTCTCCACAGTGATTCCCAGCCAGTTGAGTGCTGCCCAGCACCAGAGGTAGTCATAACCACCATGCCAGAAGCTCACAAATGCAAACGTGATTGCAGTGGAAAAGAGCATCCACAACAGGCCATGCTGGGACCCACCCAGTGGAATGTAAACGTACCTAGAGAAAGAAAACGCGGTGAGAAGCCATGACGGGGGACATACCTGCAACATTTCCTGCTCCTGGGCTTACCTCTCCCTGGCCACTCACCGTACTCAGACCCTTTGCTACTTCCCAAAGGCCACAGACCACTCCAAATTCTCCGTCACGCAAGGAATTGGCCAAAAACCCAAACCTGTAGGGCTTTAGGTTAAATGAACACAGAGGCTCAAGAGCTCTCATTACCAGAGCAATGTAGCACTTACAAGAGGCAGGGAGAGAAGTAATGAGTTCACTTCTAAAAGGGATGCCCCAACCCTGGAAACCCAATCTCAGAATGGCAATTAAGCTGCTGGCTACATGGGGGCACCAACCTTCAAACAGGAAAGTACTCTGTAGCCCAAACTATTTAAGTTCAATTGCTAAAACCAGGCCCCTAAATGACTGGACCTGAGTGCAGAAGAGGGGTGGCAAAGGCTGTTTCCTTAGTTTTCCAGGAAAGCTGCCCAGAAGCCATAGTGAATTTGCAAATAGAAAGAAAAGCTCTGTGCTTACAAGGCAGCCAAATCACCACCCAAACACAGAACCATCCTCCAGTTATGGTCTCCACTGCTAAAAGAGCTGCAAGGAGAGGGGCAGAACTACATTCTTTCATCAGGACCTTGCTGCTTGGGAGGGACAAAGCTCACACCTTGGGTTTTAGAACCAAGGGGAGCTAGGAGCATGCCCTAGCATGCAACAGCCTTTTAAAGAACCCATAGGCCTTTATTGATTTCTGGTTAGTGCTTCTTTGTCCCACCTTCCTCCAGGAAGGAAAAAGAAGTCACCACTCTCATTCTACACAGTGTATTCCAAGAACATCACTAGATACTTCATGTACACTTTTTGATTCTTCAAAGCACCATATGGTTTACACTACTGTCCCAGCATCTCGAAGAGGTCAGCATTTGTCCTGTTTATGTGTTACTGTATTTTTTGAAACAAACCTTAGTTTGAAAATCATTTTTAATAGAATCATTTACAAACAGGCAAGTCAAAAAAATAAATGAAAACAAATTAACTCATAAATAAATATGCCAAAAAATTACATGATTATAGTTTTTTTTACTTAAGACAAATTTTAACTGGTACATGAAGACAAAAATGTACATGTTAATAGGGTACTGTGTGTTTAATATGTTATACTAGCTATTCAAACTTTTATCATTTATTTATGATGAAAACTTTCAAACTCTTATTCTAGCTTTTTTTAAAAAAGTGCATGCACACTATTAACTATTGCTGCCTACTATGCAATAGCACCAGAATGTCTTGCTCCTATCTGTGATTATAATTATTCATAAATGTCTTCCTTCACAAAGACTATCTCCTTGGCTAAACTTCAGTGAAGCTCTGATAAAACCCTCCAGACCTTGACCATGGTGTCCATATTTTTGGGGCATCATCCAGTTGCAGCAAGAATCCTGCTCAGTCTAGAGAAGACCCCTGACCTTTGATGATATCTGATCACCCTCACCTGCTTTCAGCAAGATTTTTTTTTTAAACCCAGGATGCTTAGTCACTGAGCCACATCCTCAGCCATTTTTTATATTTTATTTAGAGATAGGGCCTTGATAAGTTTCTGAGGCTAGCTTTGAACGTCACAATCCTACGGTTTCAGCTTTTTGAGTCACTGGGATTAGAGGTGTGTGCCACCGTGCCCGGCTCAACAAGAATCTTGTTACGTCTGTTTAACCAGAATCCCCCTCTAATCCAACGTCTCCTCTTACCATTCTTTCATCTGAAGACCCCCACTCTGCTTGTTGGCTATATCTCATTTGTCCAAGTTATATTCAGAATTGAATATAACACTGAAGTCTCTTTTTGCCCTGATTTAATAGTTCTTCATAAAATTTGTTTTTATAGAAGCCAAGCATGGTGACACATGCCTATAATCCCAGTGAGTCAGGACGCTAAGGATGATCACAAGTCTGAGGCCACACTGACCAATTCGATGTGGCTGAGTAGTAAAGCACCCCCTGGGTTGAATTCCTTGTATGGGGGACAGGAGGAGAGAAAGGGAAAGTGAGTTGAAGGAAACAGTCATTATGGATAGGTATGGTGGTACACACCTGTAAGTCCCAGCCACTTGAGAGGCTGAGGTAGGAGGATCCCCAAGTTCAAACTCAGCCTTAGCAAACTTGGGAGACCCTGTTTCAAAGTTAAAAAGTCAAAAGGGATAAAAGATACAGCTCAGTGGTAGAGCACCCCTGGGCTCACTCTTCAGTAATCCTACCCCCCAAATTTTTGTTTTTACCACTTTAAAGCACTGTCTAGCTCTGATTTTCCCTTAAATGCCCTTTACTCTCAAACATACTCTAATTTAGAGAATAATCATATGTTCACCTTAGAAAATCCCATTTTATAAATAAGAAAACTGAGGTTGTGCATTAATTTGTCCCTGATACACAGCTGGGAAGGGGAAGAACCAAAATATAAATCTGCATCTATGGCACCAAAGTTAATGCTTTCTGACATACTTAAAGGTTAATTCTCAAAGCCCTCTTTCATAGTAGTTGGAAATGATTAAGCCCAAAGGAGAAAGTAGTCATTTCTGAAATAAGCAGAGAAAATACTTCCTCTCATACAAAACCAAGACCATCTTCACGACCAACTCAGCAAACACACACCCAGCACTCTTTACATTAAGGAATCATACTTCTGCAGTACTGTAGTTATTTAGGCCTTCCAGGCATTTTTGGCTTTAGGAGACACAGAGACAAAAGATGTTGCTCCTGCCATGAGGACAGGTACACCTGGCTATGGTTTAAGACTATGGAAGAGAAGGGGGCAGATGAAGCAGAATGGCCAAGTCACCATTTAACTCAGGCTTAGAGGATGAGATTCTTTCTCTAGGCAAAGGGGGATGTTGTACCAAGGACACACGAGAGTCGTGGGGGGGCATATGCTCAAAAAGCCCCGGAAAGCTCGGGGCACAGGTCTTAGTTGGTGTTCTGCTGACCCCTAGAGGCTGAGTGGCTATTGGTGTGGAACACCCAGCAATGGCAAAACATGGGCTACAAATCCCAGGCTGCCTCCTACCTGCACCAAGGTAAGTGCTGCCCTGCACTTCCCACAGTGTTGGTAACAGCCGGTACACAGTAATTATGACTAAGTGACCACCTTCAAAAGTATGAGGAATGACTGTAGTTTAAGGAAATTTCGCAAATACTGATTTACAAAACAATTAATCTAATACTCCCCTCCCCAACACACCTGTTTTCACATAGAGATTTTTATAGTGTGTAAAAATGAGCTGTACTGTGTATGTCCAAAACCCCTGGATTGAATCAAACCCTCTTTTGCTCCATACGGATAGCACTCAACAGCTGATTCAACTCCAAAAGGGACATGTTTTTCCAGCTTGTGATGAGGACGCATCTAACCCCATGATCACATGCACAACTAATTTAGGCGTCTCCTGGAACCATAGCTCTGTTACTTTGCCTTCAAAATGACAGCTGACAAAAATCTCTGAGAATGCTTTATTCCAGAAATTCATATATGGCAGATCTCCAAGGACATGAGGCTGCTTGTTCCAAACCGTAAGAGGGTATCCTTTCCAGACTGGAAGATAAAATCTCCTCTTCCCTCTTATTTTCTAGAGGGCAGTGCACCAGTGTGGTAAGGGGGGAGTGAACGGGTGAGTTTTACAAATTCTATCGCTCTTGTGTCTGTTCTGTGATTAATAAAATCAGAAACATGTCTCTGTTTTTGAAAAGCAATCATGAGACCCCACTTACTGAGATGTGCTGCTCAGTGAAATTGATTTCCCACTGGAAGAAGGCAATCAGAACCGCCCTCTCAGCAAAAGAAAAAATAAAAGATTTTTTTCTTGCCAGAGATTATGTGAGTCTGAGTCTGCCCAAGGCCTCTCCCTGCCTGGCCAATTTCATATGGTCACTAATGCAGAGAATGTCGCTTGAGGAGGTGAGCATCCATCTACAGCCACCTTAATCAAAAACCATCTCATGAAATCAATGCTACATAGCAAACCCCCAACTGAGGAGATTGAATTGATATAAAATATGAATAGTACGGATAATACCCATCTTTCACTGAGTGCACATGATCTGGGTTCTTTATATATTCTGTTTCAAATCATTAATACAACCTGCAAGGAAATAATAAATTTTTTTTAAACACACAGGAGATATAAAATCTGAACCTAGAATGTTCCACTGCGCTATTTATCACAAAGGGAGCATTTCTTTGGATACAATAAAAGGAACATTTATCCCTATCTTCAAATAGGTTTCCACAGAAACATTTACTAGTCTTGACTGAAAAAAAAAATGTCCTTTCTAGGGAAGAAGTCTTGCTCAGAAAAATAAAGCTTGTTATTTATTAAAGGAATTGGACCAGTGACCTGTTAGCTACTATTCAGTGCCAGAAGGTCAGAAGTAAAACTTCCATTGCTGAACCGACTTAATAGTTGTCTTGATCCCACAGAGATGACACCTGCTATCATGGCATCTTGCAAACATCTGGGTCAGAAGTGGGACATAAGAAGTTGGTTGGGGGGAGCTGCTGAGTGGATATACATGAAGACAATCTCCACCTCCCTCACATCCACAATGCAAAACAACTCAAGAACATGCCCTGAGCATGGGAGATGGGCAGTGGGAATCCACATGGTAAAATCCTTTACCAAGGCCTACAAAATAGTTCCATGTCTTTCCATGTTATCTCTGAACCCATTTCTCCATACTAACTCCAAGGCTCCATCAAGGTAAGAAGATGAAGCACCCAAGATACTCATGAACTTGGCTTTCACTGTCCCATGGACTGAGCCCAGGTGAGCTTGCAGGTCTCCAGTGTCCCATCTCCAAGGACTTATTGCTTGGCCAAGTTGGGCAGGCAGCTGTTGCCATCCTACTCAAGCTCTGCCTTATCTTTCCATCTGTATTTCCTTTATTCTCAATTTAGCTCTCTCAGCAAATCCTAAATCCTTAACAGAAGGAACTTTCTCATTCCCATGT